GGCATAAAAAGCCATAGAAGTGGCATAAAAAACCGTAGAAACCCGTAGGTCATGATTGCGTGAAGAAAATTTAGGAAATGACGACGTGACGGTCATATCTTCTTTGATTGAGATTGGTGTGGTGCGGGCTTGATGAAATTGAGTCTCTGGCGCCGGCGTTGACATGTAATCACAACTGCTCTTCTCGCGTTCTTTGCACCAGTCCATGCTGCCAGGCCTCAACGTTTTGTTGCTCTGAATATTTTCTCAAGGAGTTGCTGCCGCTGTTAATTATTTTTTTGCTGCGCCAGGTGCGGACATAGGGTCGCGCGACAGCCTGTTCACGTCCAGCTTTTGCCAAAAAACACATTTCAAGCAATAATCTTTTATGGTTCTGTCAGACCCCATCGTTTCTGTCAACTTGGAGGCTGACGATTGAGAAGTTAGTGAGTTGTCCTTCAACAATGGTCACACCATAGCCTCTATGTCCCTGCGACCTTTTGTTGCGCTTTCTCTCCTTTTATTGTTCATGAAGCGCTCCTCTGGCACAAGGGATGCAACTTGCATGGCCTCATAGCCCCTTTCACTCCCTTTCTTAGAAAAAGCAGCGCAAGCCAGAGAGGCTGCCCACATAAACTCCAGCTTACCTAGAACTGCTATAACAAAAACGGTAGTGACTACAGTTTTGCGTCACTCGCATGTGTGGTGGACATGTCATGCCCAGTACGTTGATGGGCCATTCCGAGAACCACACGGAATGACATCTTGTACATCTTGTGAATCAATATACCGTAATCATTGTATGGCATGCATGGCAGCGGAACGAAGCAAGACAGTTTTGCATGTGTGACGCGCCCACACTTCCTACTGCAACCGCCATCCCGTCTTGTGAAAAAGAGGACAGCCCTGAGAAAGCTGTGATCCGTGTTGCCACAACCTGTTTTCAAGATAACCTGTTTCATTGCACACCATGTTCCACAGCCAACCTGCCTCCATGAAGATGAGCAATGCTGGAATCTACGAGGGTTGAAGCCGATGGCATGGCCATTTTGAAACTCAGCAGTAAAGCGTGATTGCTGGCCACGACACCCTCAGGTCAAAAACACAAATCTGTCAGAAACCTGTACATTTGCCAACATGAGGTTTCTGCAGCTGCTCAAGAAAATGCCACTGTTGCATGGTGGCGACTTTTGTTTGCAACTTTTGGGATCCAGGTAAGCCCTAAGCCCTAAGCCCTAAACCCTAAACCCTAAACCCTAAACCCTAGGATCGGGCGCGGCCTTCTTGACATCTGGCTCCGGGGGCACCTCCGTTCGCTGCGGCGCTCGGCCACCTGCCACGCTTCAGCTGTTTAGGCCTGTAGGGGTAGGGTTTAGGGTTTAGGGTTTAGGGTTTGGGGTTTAGGGTTTAGGGTTTGGGGTTTAGAGTTTAGGGTTTAGGGTTTAGGGTTTAGGGTTTAGGGTTTAGGGGTTAGGGCTTAGGGCTTAGGGCTTAGGGTTTAGGGTTTAGGGCTTAGGGTTTTGGCATGCTAGAAAGACCTCATGAAGGGCTTGCTGTAGGGTTTAGGCAGTGAAAGGTTTAAGGGTTTAGGTCTGGGCTTTCACTGCTGAAAACTTCTGGCTGGCTTGAGGACGGAGGGTTCTTAAGGCTTAAGGTCTACTAACCCAGCTGTGCAGCCCAACAGCCAGCAAGAACAAAAATGATCAAGGACCGGCATTCCGGATTTCCGTTCCGTTTCGGGCGTCGTTTTAGCCCCACGTCTAGAGACAGACAGCCAACACTGCGGCGGCTGGGAATGAAGGAGTGAGTCATCATAAAGCCACCCCCGGGCCCCCCCCCCCCAAAAAAAAAAAAAAACAACAAAAAAAAAAAAAACAGGCTCAGGGTTTGGGGGGCTTCGGGTTTACGAGCTTATCATGAAGTATCTAAAGCTCGCATTTCTGATTGTTGGCTGAATGCCAATCCCATCCTCATGACCTGGCGGCCCTAAACCCAAACCCCCAAACCCTAAACCCTAAGCCTTAAACCGAAAACCTTAAACCCCAAACCCTAACCCTAGACCCCTAAACCCTAAACCCTAAAGCTGCTTATAAACCCTAAACCCTAAACCCAAAACCCAAAACCGAAAACCCTACTCCCAAACAAGGTCTTGGACCCTATGCCAGGGATAAGGCGGGAGGGAAGGCCTCGCCGCGGGCGCGAAGTACATCGAATGAGGATGAGCGCCACCTCCCAACACCCCAAAGTCGACCCACAACCGTTTAGGGGTTTAGGGTGTAGGGTTGAGGGTTTAGGGTTTAGGGTTTAGGGGTGTGGGGGTGTAGGAATTTCGGGTTGAGGGTTCGGGGTTTAGGGTTGTGTTTGGATTTGGGAAGTTAGGGTTTAGGGTTTAGGGTTTAGGGTTTAGGGTTTAGGGTTTAGGGTTTAGGGTTTAGGGTTTAGGGTTTAGGGTTTAGGGTTTAGGGTTTAGGGAGCAGTTTGATGGCGTAAACCCGAAGCACTAAACGTCAAACCTCTTAAGCCTAAAGCCCGAGGCACCACAAACCATGTCATAAACCTTTCGACCTGACTTGTACAGGCAGAGTCTCTCACAGCGCTTAGGGACTAAAGCTTTGGGGTTTCGGGCCTCCGAGTCTTGAGGATTTGAGGCATCCAGTTCTGGGAACACCCCTCCTAAAACGCCTAATTGCGCCCCCCCTAAACCCTAAACCCTAAACCTCAAACCCCTGCATCTCCTTAAAGGCGACATAGCGGTAATCCAATTGCAGACAATACACCCCACACCCCCCAACCCGACAGTCAGCCCCTACCTGAAGCTGTAGGTACTAAAGCGTAGAAGGAGGGACCCTAGGGACCCCCAATCTTGTTTCCCCTATATAACTTTATATAACCCCCTATACATTCTATATATATATATATATATCCCTATGTACCCCAAGTAGCCCCTGAAGACCCCTCAATCACCTTTAAATCACCCCTAGGTTCCCTTATAAGGGTCCCTCCTGTAGTCCCTTTAAGGCAGTAGAGACAGTCACGCGCCTTGTGGCTGAGAGGGAGGTTCTCGATCAAGGACCTGGGCGTACTTTTTTGATGCTTGGGGTTGACGGGGCTTGCTTAGGGTTTAGGGTTTAGGGTCTAGGGTTCAGGGTGCTTAAGGGCCTTAAGGGTGTTGACCCTATATACTGCCCTAAATCGCAAAGCCTGCCTAACCTCCATGACCTGCGCTGAACCCTATGTCCCTATTCATTCTTAATATTCATTCTTAACTTGGTAGCCAGTAACCAAATTCTAAGAAGTGCATTTTGGGGGTTGTTGACTTTATAAGGGAACCTTGAACCCCAAAAAGGAAGGGTACCAAGTGCTAATTCCGAACGGTGTGCCCATGATGCCAGCAGTATGCAAGAGTCTTGGAGAAGCAACCGCCTGTACTGCCACAACAACTCCGAAATCCACAGAATCAACATGTGCTCCCATGCTCACACCCTCAATGAACCCTAAACCCGAACCGTGAACCCTAAACTGCAAACCCTAAACCCTAAGCCCTGAAGCGTTCTTCTGATTGCTGGGTCACTGGAAAGATTCTTCCTCTCCCCTGGGGAAGGCCGCGAGAAGTTGGGCAGCAGCCTGCCCAGTCTTAAGGGGTAAAAGGAGGGACCCCTAGAAGGGACCATTAATCTTATTCCCCTATATAACCCATATATATATATATATACCTTATATGGTCCCTATAGTCCCTTGACAGTCAAGCCTAAGACACCCGAAACCCTAATGCCCCACCCCACCCCCCCCCCTCCCCGCATGCGGCTGTTGAGCTTCAACCAAGCAAGGGGCAGAAGACCCCTAAACCCTAAACCTTATAAACTCTGAACCTTACTTAAACCCTAAACCCTAAACCCATCCAGGCCAGGGTAGGCGCTAACCCCGACACTCTGAAACCTTATAGGCTCAGGGCTCAGCTCTGTTCGTAGCGATTGCTATCGTGTTGACCAACTTGTGTTCGTACTGTTAAGGTCTATCATCATCGCCATTAGTATGTTTCGGCTACGAAAAGAAGTATGCATTTCCCGCAAGCATTCATGCATGAATCATCATCATCATCATCATCATCATCATCATCATCATCATCATGGTCGTCATCGTCATCGTCATCGTCAACTCTTCTTCCTTCGCAGTGAGAGTCGTCCCTCAGCTAGCGTGCGCTACAGTGTGGTTCACCTTGCACACCGGCCGATTACACGGCTTAGCACGTATGCTCTTAGAGAAAAGCCGCTTGCTATTGAAGCGGGGTCCCTGTTTGTACTCAAATAAAAACTCATCGTTCAGTCATCTCCCAGGCTTGCATCTGCTAAGGGCTCGCTGCCCTTGCGAAGAACCTCCTTATATCCTGCGCAGTGACAGAATTGGCTTGTCCGTGAATCAGTCCACGGTTTCCAGATTGATGATGCGAGGCAGGACCCGAGCGTACTGGTTGCGAGCTGACTTCTGGCTCTGACGGTAGTAGTACGCTTTCTGGTCGCAGATCAGTCGCTTGATCTGGTATCACAAGGTGCCGTGTCTCTGCTGCAAGATGCGGAGGTCCTGCATGAGCTGACGCAAGAGGATCTTCTGGAGATTCATGTGGCTCGCCACCTATGCCTCTTTGCGCATATCTATGTATCTCAGCCAAACTCGAGCCATGAGCACTTGGAGCACTGCTGGACCCTGGCGGTGAGGCCTCGACTCCAGTGGTCGTGGCTGGGCCCAATGCACTTGCACGATCATGTGAAAAGTCGGTGTTTTCACACACACGGGCAATGACAAGAACATACATATCCCGGCTAATCTGCAGAACACTTTCCGAATCAAGGACTTTTGGCGGCTGTGCATCATCAAGTGCTGTGAAGCCTTCTTCACTCGGCAGCGCTACAGTGTAGTGACCTGCTGAAGGTACATTGCCATGATGACGAATGACAGCTACTGTTTTGTAGGGTAGCCACCTTACGCCTATTGCCTGATCTGCAAGGAAAAGCGGCACTTCCAACTCGCGGGGAATGTCCTACCACTGTGCTGTTTTGCGTATCCTGCCTTTCCTGCTGTGAAAGCGTGGAAGTTGCAGGAAAAGCCAAGGCATTGGTTGCACCATCGCCTGTCTATGTTCCTGGGCCGACCAGTGGTTTACAAGATCTTGGATGTTGGGGCTATGCTTTGGGGGCGCTAACAACCCTATGCATTTGGAGAGGGGGGGTAGGCTCTGTGCAGGCAATGGGCTGTTCTGGCACCTGTCTGCGTCCCTGCCATACCCCTTGGAGAGACCTTGGCAGGAGTCTCGAGTGAACGAAGTCAACGAACTCGCATGTGTCATGCTGGCGCTCAGGCGCTTGCCACCCCAAAGTTGTGAACCCCAGGAGCCCGAAGGCTCTGCCCCTTTGCTGACCTTGTAGTCGCTGAAACACATTTGGCATTTGGGCATGAAGGCCAACAAACTGCACAGCTGCATCTAGGGCATAGAGAAATGCAATGGCATAGCAATGGTTGCCAGGATTATGCAAGCTGAAGTTTGGAAGGCTGCACACATTGGGGCGCGGACGCACTGTTGCAGCATGAGCCACACTTGTCAGTGGCCGTACACCCACTGAGCCAACTGCTCCGCTAGGGGAGACTTCTTGAGTGTTCCCCGTTTCAGGGAGATGCCCACAAGCTGCCAGGCCGAGCTTCCAATCAACGTGCACATTGTCTCGTGCATCTCGTTGGCTTTCTCTCCCCGTAGGGAAATTTCGAGGACGAAAGTGGCTGGGGGTTTGGAGCTCGCGTTCGCTTCCAGGCTTTTCAGTGACTGCGTACTGTTGAACTTCTGCACTATCTCTCCCTTCATGTGCTCCAACAGAAATGTGTATTGGCGCACAATTTCTTGATGACTCATGCTTTCGCGGCTTGCATCTAGGACCATTTTCTTGCTTCGGTGACAGTAGCGCAGGAATGTCCAGCCCCCCGTCTCGTTCATCCATCCTGCTGCCTTCAACTTGCCCTGGCCTTCGCTGGTGGAGGCCATTTTCTGAATCCTGGCCAGGATCTCCTTGATCAAGCACGCCATCAGCAATGTTCTCAGCGGGGATTGAAGCTCCGATGTGGAGCTGTTGTCCTGGCGCCGCTTGTGCCATTGCTCGGAGATGGAATGCAGGTTCGGGATGATGCTGGCATAGTCCTGCCTCATAAACATGATGAACACTTTGTCCACCCGTTGGGCTGCAAGCATCTCCTCGTGCTGCAGCATGAGCTTGGCCATTGCTCGACTCTGCGGGTCCATTGGTGGCTGCTGTTTCGGCCAACGGGGGCCCCTCGGAGCAAATGGCGCCTGGCGATGAGGCTGCTGCTTGCCACGCTGACCAAACAGTGGACTGGGCTCGGGTCGAGGGCGTTTGGGGGGTTGACTCATCTCCGAGGGCTCCGACAGTTCTTCCTGCAAGGTCTCCGCTGCGGCTCGCTGCAGCAGTGAAGGATCGCAAAAGGCGAAGATGTCCGCCTCCGGATTCAGTCCCGCTGCATCGGTCCTGGGACCATTGGTAGCGGATTCGTGCTATGCACAGCTGGTAAAGCACAACACATTGTTGGGAGTGACGCCCTGGGGCTCCCACATTTCTCTTGCACCAGGGACAGGTCCGGTTTCGAACCAGTTGGCTTTTGAAGCTGTGGCACAAAGTTAACGCTCTAGCATGTAGACCTGGTGTCTCACCTTCATGAATCTTAACAATGTGCTGTTTTATGTGAGTGAAGCTAGCTACCCACATGTGACACAGGCTGCAATGAGTCTGCAGGTCAATGCGCAGTTGAGGCTCTCTGAGAAGACTCTCCCAATCATGCTGTCTGTTGCGAAAAAGGGCACGATCAATCAAAGGCAGGTTTTGTTGCGTGTCAGTCGCTGCGTCATCCGGGGCTACAGCCGGCACAGGCAGCTGATTGTCCGCGACCTGGGCATCAGTGGCAGATATGGGATGTTTGCTCAGGCTTTCTCCTCCGAGCTTCTCACAAGCACCGCTTTCTATATGAACCCGAAGGTTTTGCCATCGGTAGAAGGACCTCAGGCAAAGCTGGCAGCGAGGAAGGCCGCCGCACGCGTGAATCCGGGGCACAAACTTGACAGGTGTGCTGGCAGCACGTGGTGGCAGAAGCTTGTGGGCCACCTGACAGTGGATTCTCATGGCATTCTCAGTGACGAACATGGCATCACACTCTGGGCATGGTATCTGCGGAGTTTCAGGCTCAGGCGGGGCATCATCATGCTCCGCTTGCTGCGCAATCAGAGCCTGTAAGGAGGCAACAAGTTGCTGCACATGCGCCAAAATGCACTCCTGCGTGGTGATGTCAGGGGAAGCAACGGCCTTGATCAGCAGATTCTGCTGAAAGCGCTGAAGCGCCGTCAACAGCAGGCTGCCAGGCATGTCAAGGCCCGCCTGGGTCCAAATGTCGCGATTGGGAATGCGTGTGACGTGCGCTGGCTGCTTTTGAATGGCTCTCAAGTGCTTAGTGCAGGCTTTAGTGAGGCGCTCAAGGCCGTGCTTGGTAATGCCCACTGCTGACAGCGAGTAAAGCATACTAGTGGACACACACGCCAACCAAAGCCGAGTCCGGTGATGAATGGTTAAATGGTGTTTACCATTCAAGGGCTTGCGCAGGGCAATGTACTTGGCCTGGCCAGCCTGTACACGATGCGCAAGATTTTTGTCAAGTCGGTGCTGGTAAGTGACTTTGGTGCCTAAATATTCATGTTCATCTTTGACGGGGATGAGCTGTTCCTCGCCGTGAACAGTGATGACAAGATGCCTGACACCATTCTTGAGGCGAGTGTGTTCATGCAAGATCGCCTTAGCTTGTTTGCCTTCAAGTCTTACCAGTATGGCAGTTTTCCGATAGTTTATGGACATTTTGAAGGTGGTAAGGGTCTCAAGCACAACAACAAGCTCATTTATGGCATCGTCCCTGAGCTGTGTTTCAACTAGTAGTTTCTTTCATGTGACAACACGTTACTTGACTCTGTCATTCATTGCTCAAGCTGCTCAGGGGAGGTCAAAAGGTTGATGTCCATACGCGTCGTGGGTGCAGCTGCCGTGTCCGGGCTCACTGGACTTGCAGTGCATCAGAGCTGGCGAGCTTGGATTGCACAAAGTGTCGCGAGGGAGGTGGTCAGCTTTGTTGGCCATCAAGTCTTGTCTTCACAGGGAGCTACAGATTTTTTGTGGCAGGGCGCGCGGAAGCTGTTCGTGGTGGGCGGAGTCTTATTATTGTTGGAGTGGATTCCTTTAATCGTACTCTGTCTTCGCCTGGTCGTATATCTATTTCTGAGGGGCTCGTATTGGGTGCTTCGTGGGAGCACTGAACTACTGCATCTCTGGAATTGTATAGGCGAGTGGGTGTTGGAGCAATTTCTCGCGTGGTGGCTGCGCTACAGTCGAACAGACCAGTTTTCCTTAACCTGCGACGTGATGGCAGCCGCAGGAGCAGGGCAATTCCAGATAGGCACTTTTGCCGTGGTGGAAAGGCCTCCTCATCACGACGAAGTGTTTGTGGTGGGGCATGGACCCGGCCAAGGAGAGATTCTTACCCGCACCACCTCCGAGGATGGAGGAGAATGGATCTGGGCTGTGGTGCTT